AACAGTTAGACCGAGTTGAAGAGAACTTGGATCAAATCAATGTTGACATGCGTGAGGCTGAGAGAAACTTGACAGGACTTGAAAAGTGCTGCGGATTGTGTGTTTGCCCGTGGAGAAGGTCTGATTTTCCTGTGCTCTGTATTTTCTGATCAGACATGAAATATTGTTTCTTGCTATTGTGATTGTTCTTCACAAAGTGATTGTAGTACTAAGAATCATATAACTTAAAAGGACTTGAGCACAAATGGCATAGATGTAAGTAGGGACAGGAAAAGCATGTTTGAGCCCAGGAAACAGCTCTACCAGCAGCCATATCAGGCACATTGACAGAAAAAGTAAAAAAATGGAAGTCGGGTAGAGTTATGTAAAGCTTCTCTTAAAAATTCCGTGGCTCTCAGAGTCTCAGTGATGGCATATGAAATGAGGACCGAGTACTTTCCTGTTTGATGCTTTCACTCAGTAAATGTTAATCCTTTGGCCCCCCTAAGAGTGACTAACATTGAATTTTTCCTTACAATATCACCCCTGAATTAAACATCAAGGTCAGGAGAATAAAAGAAATGATCACCAACTAAAGAAGCTCTTGATTATCAAACAAATTCTCCTTAACAGCACTGTGGGAAATGTATAGAGAACAGTATGGAGAATATTCATACTGATGTTACATATTGCGCACTCATTTTCAAACTTTTCTTTGTGCAATGTCTTGATTTTTCCCAAGGAAAAACGTTAACTAAGGTCTCTCTGATAATCATCTGATTGAATGGATAAATACCATTCTTAAACTTGTTATTACACCCCTCAGCCATAGTGGTTATTGTCATATAAAAAACTGTTGATTTTAAGCACTGTCCTAATTTTAGGTTGTGATTTAGAACTGACTTTGTATGTTTGGTTTTTTTTTTGTTAGGCGGAAGAATTTTGAAAAGGATGAAATGTACAGAAAGGCCTTTAAGAGTAGTGATGATGGAACTCTCTCCACCCAACCAGGTAATATTAGAATTATTTCACAATGTGATAAGTGATGGGAGGGGGGGGGGGGGGGGGGGGGAGAGGGTACTGGACTGTGGTTCAAGAAGTTGCAATGTCAGATTGGGCAGGATCATTCTATAGTGTTCTTTGTAAAGTGTATCAATATTCTGGCTGTATGGTCACAACTTACAACACACTTTAATTGATATTCACCTCACTTGAATACCTTTCACAACATTAATATTCTTAGTTAACATACAGTCATGCAGTTGTGCCGATCTATTCCCATGATGAATACATTCTTAAAGATGTTACACTACATTCTTAGGCAACTCACTTCACTCTCTTTGTGGCCCTCTCCACCCATGAGTATAAATGGGTGTCTTTGAATTGTCGATGAAGCCCGATAAAATGTTTGGGGGGGGGGAAGGAGGAGGAGGAAGTAACTTAATGATGGGCTGGCATCTCATCCAGGAGGTAGTAGCAATACCACTAGTCACTTCATGCCGTGGGAACTGGAATAAACTGTGGCTTAATAGCCCCTCTTGGCTCAAGTATAGACTTTGCCTTCTTCTACCAGAAAAGGACTGTGGTCAGTGACAAAACTCATGCTTTGACAAGCTGGGGGATGGTCTTAGTTTAGTGCTTCAGCATGTGTAAATTTTTAACCACACAGGACTGAGGAAAATTGTAATAGACAAGGTGAGGTTTTATTTTTAGGAGCCAGATATGCACAAGATGGAAACAGTGGAGAGGCAGCTAAAAGTGGATACATACAAAAGTAAATAATTTTGCAACTTAAACCTTTAACTCCTTGAAGTGATAAACATGTAACTTCTCCCCATAATATCCGTACATTATCCAGCAAATAGGTAATGAGAATACTTGAACGTATCTGGTAGAAGTTGTTTTCTTGATCTGACACCAAATTCTTGTAACTGATTTACAAGGAAATGTGTAGCAGCTGGAGGAGAGAATTAACAAGCAGATCTTGGGAGTTAAAGGGTTAAATAAAATTAGTGTGGAAACGTAAAATAGTCAGTAAAACCTTTGAAAGTAACTTCGGAATTTTATTACTGCAAAAATAGATGTTTGTTCTGTTAGGTCGTGAGAACTTTGGTTCCATTCAGGTGATATTGTGTTACAGTTTGTGTTGTTGTTGTTGTTGTTTTTTTTTGGAAAATAATATAGGGTAACTATCACCGAAAATTTGATGGGTTTAAGTCTTGATGTGAAGGAGATATAATCTGAAACTTTTTTGTTTCATTAAAGTGTGACATGTTTTGCAGGATTACAGGAGATGACAGAGAAGATGAAATGGATGAAAATCTCGGGTGAGCAGTGAAAAAGATAATTTAAACCTTACATTTTCAGGTTTACTCAGTCGTGTGTTTGCAAAATTAACAACGGTAATAATTATAATGGCGCTTCTCGATTGAGTTTCGTAAAAACAAAGTATTCATCTGCCATACGATCGGCAGCCGCTATGGAAAAAGTGATGATAATAATACAATATAAAATAATTCAAATAGTACGCGCGCTCTTATTGGCCATAAAACCATTTTACATGAGCGTATGGAAACACGGTTTTCGTTCCTCTTTCATTAGTTATTTTATAAAAGAAATGTAAAATGGTTTCCGTGTTTACATAGCCTGATGTAAACACGGAAACCATTTTACATTTCTTCAATATAAATTGCCGTGATAATCAGAACATGAGGTAGTGGCACTCTCAACCAAGTGTTGTAAAATAAGTCAGATAGCAAACGTATGTGCATATGAATTTTTTTGATCTAAAGTGTTTATTTATTCTTCTATTGATTCAAAGGCAAGTGGCGAACATAGTTGGTAATCTGAAGTCAATGGCGATGGATATGGGTAATGAGATTGACACACAGAACAGGCAGTTGGATCGTATCAATGCAAAGGTGATGACATATTTCGTGTTGGAATTCTTCTTTTGATAAAACAAGAAACACAGTCTAGTGTTAGTGGCATACATTGGGGAAGAGTCGCCGTCCCATGATATGATAAGTTTGGCCGGAAGAGAAAACCTCTTCGGTCAAGGTTTTATGACGTGCGAACGGAGCACTAAACATTTTCTTGCTAAACTGTCTCACTCAGTTCATAATAACGTCTTACGCGCTCTTTTTCAAACAGACCTCTCAACAATATTTTAATTTTTAACTAGGTAATTAAGTATAATCAACTGAGTTGATAACGTAAATTGGCCACCGTAAAGAGTTTTAAAGCTGAAGTTTCGAGCGTTAGCCCTTCGTTAGAGCGAACGAGGACGGGCTAACGCTCAAAACTTCAGCTTTAAAACTCTTTACTGTAGCCAATTAACATTATCAACTCAGTTGATAATACTTAATTACCTTGTTATACTCTCCCACCAACGCAGCACCACAGTTTCTTTAGAAACTTATCTCCTTTATTCAAGACCTCTATTAGCCTCTATGGTTTGACTACCCATTTCAGTTCATGTCATATGATAATACTCTGGGAAATACAGGCTTAACAGGTCTATTTAATTTAGAGCCATATTTAATTGTGTCGAAAGTTATCCGGAATTGCCCTGGTTTTGGTTTTATTCGTTGTGTGATTGGTTTAGAAAAATATCACCACTTTCTCGACCAATCAGATGTAAAACTAAAACCACTCACTACTTGGTCGCGCACGTTTTCCCGCGCTTTAGGCAGCTTGGTTGTTCTTTTAGTTCTCATTGGCTGTTGTAGGTATTTTCTTTCCTTCCGATTGGCCGCTTAATCGAAAAGCACTTTACGTTTTCGCTAGACTTACTAATTGATTGATTAATTTCAGGCGGAAGCAAACGATGTCCGTATTCAAAATGCAAACACGCGGGCACGGGATATCCTAAGGAACTGTTGAATGGTAGACTCGAGGATGTTATCATCGTACTCCTAGTCTTTCCCAAGTTAGTAATGTTAGCACTGAATATAGTTTTTTGTCAAACCTGAACACGATTGAAATAATTTTGAGACTTCACATCTGGGAACAAAATAAGAAATTGGTTTCAGAGAAATTCATTCACCATTATTTTTAGAACATGTGTAATTAAAGGCATTCACCTATACAAAAATATGTCTCTCCCTTTTGACAGACCGCCGAGCAAAAAGTAATGATTAAAAAAGCGTTAAAGATTGTGGCATTAAAAGACATTTGTTGATCAAAGCTAGAGGGGTAGATATTCTTTATTACAATGTATAGCCAAGTTTGAAGAAAA